AAACTTCTAGGTTCACTTATCTCCTGTTAGTGCCTTCTGTGTTCTCTTTTGGTTAATTGAGTTTGATGGTTTTCTTGGTCTAGGTTGTGTTATTTTTCAGAATAGTGGTGGCTGTTCAGGAAAGCAACCCTTGTATCATCCACAGAGCTAGAAGCTTTGGTGTACTCATTAGATATAAGCAACGGCAGCAGCTTCCAGTCTTGGGAAAGTTATGATGGATGCCCTTATTTCAGTTCATATGGAATTGAGAAAATCCTGTGGACTTGAAGTGTCTGGTATCCCTCAATGGATCAGATGGGAAAAAAACTTGAACTACTTACTAGGGCACTAGATATTGTTTTGGGCAGTGAAATGACAGAGCTTGGTGGATGGCTGTCATACAGGTAATACTTCTTATTTCATCATTTAATAGAAAGATCTATTTCATCATTAGTTAGTGTGTTCCAACTTACCAGAACTACTCTGCTACTTCCACTTATATTTTAAAATGTTAGTTGTGCTTATATGTAAATGTTCTAGATGATACAACCACAGAGAAATAACGTACCTTAAAAAATGAGGAACACATGATGCAGGGATGTCATATTTTTTCCCACCAATACAAGTACACACCCTTTTCATCCTGAATTCGATATCCTAGTTTAAGTCTGTCATAGTCTTCAATTATTTCTATGAACATGAGGATATGCTCTTGCAAAATGAGTTGTCTGCTCAATAGAGTGGACATTTCCTTGCAAAATGAAAATAGTATGTAGTCTTGGTTAGAGTAGTATCTCCCTACAACTTTCAGTAAGTCTAGTCTTTGGTGGCTCAACTTTGTTTGAAAGAAGTTATAAGTTTCTGTATAATTTCTGAATTTGTCCCATATTTCCCTGTGGTTTTTTGTATTAACGCTATAATACAATTATCTGTAGTTTGGTTAGACTATTATTTTCTACAACTTGCCTTATATTCCTATTTTATAATAGGAAAACTTAAGAAGGGTCTCCTTCTTAACATGGAACCCTGAGTTTGTTCCGTGTTTGAAGAAAATATTCACTTAAAAATTATGTCTTTACAGGATTGAAATGTATCCTGTCTATGCTCTTGGAAGAAGAGCTATCAACTGAATTAAGAGATGAAGATGCAACAAACCTAATTCGGCTTCTTTTTGCGTCATCTAGGAAGACAATTTTGTAGAAGATTGTTCCTGCTAGTGATAATAAAAAGAAATATCACACCAAAGCATAAAAGGTGAGGTTCTTTAGTTCTTGTTGTTGATACTCTCTGAGACTCTTACTAAGTGTTATATTTTTGCTTCAAACGTCATCGTTTACACCTGAGAATGGACTCCAAGAAAGTGCTTGTGAAACAATAAGTTGGTGATATTTCCGCTACCTGGTAGATCTGTACTGTTTTAGCGATGTCTTTGTGCTGCAATATTTCTTGAACTGTCTGCTTGTCTTAAATCAGGTCAATTGGTCAAACACATCCAGATTACTTGCTAGTATTTTTTAGTGGAAGAGGTGCCATTTTTGTATAATTTCATGTTACCATCTTTAACATTTTTCTAACAACATTTAAGACATTTTATTATAGTTGGAGTTTGATAATAGAGTGAGCAGTCATATCATTCATTACCATGGAACATAGATGGTAACTGTGTCTGTCCTAACCCAACAAGAACTTCCAGGATTTGTCTTCTTAATAATGTCAGCATAGTCACATAATCTAAAGAATTCCAGATTCCAATTACCCATGAACTGACTCATTACCATGCAGTTGGCTCTATAACAAACAGTTCTCCCTACATTCAAACCCAACTGATCCCTTACCAATTCTTGAATATCCCAAAGTTTTATGTTAGGCTGAGATACAATCCTATCTTGAAATTTATGTGCAATGTACATAGAATTGCGTAACTTGTTCTTGTTTTTAGTAGGGTAGCGATGAAAAGGGTGGTACATCTTCACAATAAAGTCACCATAATTCCTGTCAGTGCTTCCATAAATCTCCCATTTGCATAGTATTTTTCTTTTACATTTGACTCTAATTTTGTGCTTCTCATTAGGCTTAAGTTCGTGTTGCACTTTGTTGTCTACAACATAAGATTGCACAACTAAGAGTGAGTTTCCTATTTCACCCTTTTCTCCTCTGGTTTCACGACCACCACACACACTCACTTCTCTTCCTTTCTTTCTTTGTCCGTACGAACCTGAGAGAAAACCAAAGCAAATCAAACCTCCATTTTAATTTCATCCCTCTCTTCCACTGTAAACAAAATCTAGGGTTTCTACTGCGGAGTTTGAACAAACTTTCATCATCTCTGTTGTCTCTTTCTTGGAGTTACCTCTGGACTGACAAGTAGTAAAATATTGAGGACTTTTTTTTGTCGAAACCTTATTGGTTTTCTTTTTCAACTTTGTATTATATTAAGATTATGCGGATCAGATCTATGTGTTCTTCATTATTTAGATGGTTAGAAGAAGGGAAACTAACATATATATATGTGTGATTAGATTTCAAGACTTGGAAATATTTACAGTTTCTTGTTAGTTTTGGATGTTGTTGGGAGAAAATGAAAAGTTCATTTTGGTATAGTGCTTATTTTGGGGGATTTCTAGGATCTTCTCAGATATGCCGATGATTTAACTGTCAAATCATGGAATATACCCCTAATGGGAAAAGGTTACCCCTGAAATTAGGCAAAACAGTGAGTGGGATTTTCTGTAAAGGGTGATTGCCCCTCTCTGTTGCGCCACTGATTTTTCTGCATTATAAATAACCAACAGCCTTTGTTTATGAAAAAGCAAACACTGTAAAAACAAAAATGGATTTAACATGTATACTTTGAGATCTTTGTATTTCTTCTGTGTCTTTGTTTTTTTTTTTTGAAACTAGTAATATTTGTATTTCATTTAGTACTTAGGTAGTACTGAAAAACCATATTTACAAAAGCAGAAAGGAAGTATAATCTATCCAAAAACTGAACCAAATCTAAATGGATCCTAAAACATCTATGATTCACTCAGTTTCATTGGAGTAGACATTTGTACACCAAAAGCAGAACAACAAAATACACTTAAGCTTTACTTCCTGCAAGTTGTTGTTCCCATTCTCAAAACATCTCTCGTTTCTCTCCCTCCATATAGTCCACCAAATACTAGTAGGGATCATCCTCCATCTTTCTCTGTTTGTAGCCCCAACTCCAGCCATCTCCCAACTGAATAGAGTCTCATCAATCTTGCTAGGCATACACCAAGATATGCCTCCGAGATTAAGGAAAATCAGCCACAGCTGCTCAGTAAAGTTGCAATCTAAGAAGAGATGTCTCACTGTCTCACTGTCTCATTGGCCTTACCACATAAGGAACATCTGTTACATAGAGAGATTCCTCTCTTGGCCACATTATCCAATGTCAAAATTGCTTTATTAGCTAGTAGCCATGTAAAGCATGCCACTTTGTGTGGCACTTTGGTCCTCCAGATTTGCTTCCAAGGCCATTTGAAGTCTTGAATGCCACCAGGACTTATCTGTTTTTATCCTTCTTTCACCTTGTAACTGCCTTTGTTGTGCCCTTGCCACCATAAATAATCCTCGCTTGTTTGTATACCTTGAAAATTCTCCAGAACCTTAAACAATTCAAGTATTATGGGAATTTCCCAGTCATTCAGATTTCTTCTGAGGATCAGATCCCAGCCTTGTTATGTCCACATTTCAGCGACAGTCTTCTGTTGGTGTTGAGCCAATATAAACATGTCAGGAAAATGATCTTTGAGGCTCATACCACCCAACCATTTATCAAACCAAAAACTAGTTTTTCTTCCATTTTGTACCTTGACAGTAGACTGATTACTGAGAAAAGGCCAAAATATTCTGATGGATTTCCAAAGGCTAATCCCATAGGGGGTATTTACCTCTTTGGTTACCCATTTATTTAGCTCCTCATACTTGTTGATCACCCTATACCATAGTGCTTGGTCCTCCTGATGGTACCTCCATAACCATTTCACCTTCAGAGCTTTGCTATGGTTTTTGAGATTCTTGATACCTAATCCATCTTGCATCTTACTTCTGATGATGTTCTTCCACTTGACTAAGTGAAAGCCTTTTCTTTCCTTATTTCCTTGCCACAAGAAGTTTCTTCTAATTTTGTCCAAACTCTGAACTACTGATTAGGGAATATGGAAGATAGATAGCATATATGTAGGGAGAGCATCCAGAACAAAGTTTATCAGAGTTAATCTACCTCCCAAGGAGAGGTACTGTGATCTCCATCTGGCTAGTTTCTTTTCACATTTCTCCAATATTGGGTTCCAAATGTCTATGGCTCTAGACTTTCCCCCCAAAGGCATGCCCAAGTATACTGATGGCAGAGTACCTGTCACTCTTCCCAAGGTTTGTGAGAGGTGTTCCATAACCGGAACCACATTAATTGGATACAAATGGCTTTTGTTCCAGTTTATATGTAGTTCAGATATGGCTTCAAAATAGACTAGTATGAGTCTCAAAATCAGCAACTGTTCCTCCTCGGCCCCACAAAAAATTAGTGTATCATTATGTTGTAGGTGTGTGATCTCCATACTATTCCCAGCAACCTTACTGACTTCAAATCCATGTATTCTTCCTGTTGTCTTGGCTATCTTCAACATATTGTTAAGCCCCTCCATAGCTATGATGAACAGGAAATGTGATAAGGGATCGCCTTGCCTGATTCCTCTGTGTGCACTGAAAAAGCCTTCAGGAGACCCATTGACGAGTACTGAAAACTTAACAATTGAAATACAAAACTTGATCCAACTGATCCATCTGCTATCAAATCCCATTTGTCTCAGCATACTTAGAATGAAATCCCAATTCACATGGTCATATGCTTTCTCAATATCAAGTTTGCATAGTATACCAGGTTTCTTTTGGGACACTCTAGAATCAATTGCTTCATTAGTTATAAGCACTGCACCCATTAACTGTTTGCCTCTGATAAAAGCCATCTGTTGTTTGTCTACCAACTTATCCACAACTCACTTCAACCTTTCGGTCAAATCCTTGGACATTAGCTTATAGAAGCTTCCAATAAAGCTGATGGGTCTGAAGTCCTTGAGTTCCTTTGCTCCTATCTTTTTAGCAATCAGTGCTATGCAGGTTGTATTATAGCTCTTTTCAAACATCCCAGTTGAATGAAAATTGTGGAAAGCCCCCAAAATGTCATGTTTAATGATCTCCCAACATTTTAGAAAGAATCCCATTGTGTATGCATCAGGACCAGGGGCTTTGTCTATAGCACACATTTTTAAACAGTCAAGTACTTCTTGTTCCTCAAAATCTGCCTGCAATGCTTCATTTTCACCCTCTGTAATGGTAGGATGGTTGCTGATATTTACAGAGGGTCTCCAACCTTCAAGTTCTATATACATCTTTTTGTAGAAAGAAATAATTTCTTCCTTAATTCTGTCTGGCTCTATTATAGTCTCTCCCTGTACTTCCAGTTGATCAATATGGTTGTATCTCTTGTGGGCATTAGCTGTTTGGTGGAAAAACTTTTTATTCCTATCCCCTTCCTTGAGCCACCAAGCCCTTGATCTCTGTCTCCAGGCCACTTCCTCATTCTTCAAACACCCCTCATACTCCATGAAATGTGTGGCTTTTTTTTCTCTCTCCTCCTCAGTTAAAATTCTGTTGCTCTGATGTGATTCTAACTCAGCCATCTGATTGAGAAGGTTGTTCTTTTGCAATTTCAGATTACCTTGTTCATATCTGCTCCATTCTTTCAATTTCCCTTTGAGGGCTTTGAGTTTGCATGCGAAGATGTAATCTGGCTTCCCATAGAACTCAAAATCATTCCACTAGACCTTGATTCTTTCAACAAATTCTTCTTGGTTCAGCCACAGATTTTCGAACTTAAAATAGGATTTAGATTGTTCCCAATGTCCACACAACAAGGCTATAGGAACATGATCAGAAGTCACTCTTTGCATAGTGGTTTGCTTTATGTTGGTAAAAGATTATTCCATTCTGTGGAGACCATAATCCTATGGAGGTCTAGATCACGAACACTCGCATGAGCATGTGAGAAACTTTACAGAGGTTTGCAGCCCTTTTTCATTCAAAAATGTGTCACAAGAGTCAATTCGGCTGCGTTAGGTGGTTAACCGAGTTACCAAACAATTCCATCACATCATGGGAGGAGCTGGTTATAGCATTTAACACAAGATTCTTTGCTCCATCACTAATGATGAAACTTAGGGATGAAATTGAAAGTTTCAAGCGACGGGAGGGGGAACCTATCTGTGAAATGTGGGTGGGATTCAAGAAGCTCCTACTTAAATGCCAAACTTATGGGCTACCAAACGATTTGTTACTTCAATATTTCTATCAGAGTCTCGATTTGGTTAATAAAGTAGTGGCTGATCAATTGGTACGAGGAGGAATAATGTTACAATCATTTGAGGTAGCGTCATTTCTTCTGGATGATATGACTAGAATAAACCAAGTGTGGTACTCCTAAGAGGATAGAGTCTCTCAATTTGAATTTAGATTACGCAAAAGCAACTTGATAAAGAGAGAGAGAGATGAAAACATCAAGAAGATGTTAACCCAAATGGAAGTTCAACAAGAGCACATGGAGGGGACATGTGAAGTGTTTAGAGTTGAGGAGGGTTCTTCTTCCGATTACTCAAGGCCGGGGGAGAATCAAGGTTGGAACTCCAAGAGATATGAGGAGGGTTTCCACCAATGCTATCTACAGCAAGGCAGAAATCAAGGTTGGAACTATCATAAGGGAGAAGAACAAAGAAAATACTATTAAGATTGGGCCAAGCAAAATGATTATTGGAGAAGGGAAGATGATTATGAGGAGAACCATACTCACTCAAGTGAAAACCCAAAATCAAAAGGGAGTGCAAGCAGTCCCCGGGTGAATGACTTGTTGTCACGCATACTTGACAAAGTTGAAGGTTCGGATGATTTGTTGAAAGGGATGAAATATGACTTTTCATCACTGAACCGTAAAGTGAACTCTCATGCCGACGCCATCGATACACTTTAAGGGCAACATAGTTTAATATCAGCTCATTTGAAACCAAAGATAATGATGGAAGATGACGATAGAGGGTTGGTTGTCGTTACTCGTAGCGGAAAGGTGGCAATAGGTAATGTGATGGGAAATAAAGATTCTCAAAAGCATGAAGAAGGTAAAGGCATGGAGGAATAGGAGTTACTTATTCATCAAAACCTTGCCAAAGAACCACAAAAGGAAGTGGAACAACACGTTCAAATTCCAGAAGTCATGCAGCCTTTACCCAAAATACCTCCACCAATTCCCCACGTTTAAAGAATAAAAATAAAGATGAGAAGTTCAAGAAGTTCTTGTCAGTGCTCAAGACACTACCAATCAACCTCCCCCTTGTGGAAGAATTATTGGGAATGCCGGGATCGCCAAGTTCAATAAAGAGTTGTTCACGAAGAAAAAGAGTTTGGATTTTGACACAATTGAACTTTCCCATAATTGCAGTGCAATTATGACTAAGGAGCTGATAAAAAATAGAAGATCCCGGGGCATTCAATATTTTGTGCACCATAGGTATGCTCCAATTCGCTAAAGCTTTATGCGACCTAGGAGGAAGCATCAACTTAATGCCCTATGCGATATACAAACAACTTGGGTTGGGTGAACCGAAAGCAACCACAATGAAACTATTGATGGCAGACCGTTCAATCAAACATCCCGTGGGGATACTTTATGACATCTTGGTGAAGGTTGATCGATCATTTTTTCAGCTGATTTTGTTATTTTAGATTGTGAAATAAATGCTGAAATTCCCATTATTTTGGAAATGCCATTCATAGCAACCGGGAGAGCATTGGTGGATGTTGAAAGTAGAGAATTGAGGTTTCGGGTGAACGAAGATGTAGTAACTTTCAATATTTGCAAATCCATGAAACACCCAAGTGATATTCATGTGGTGTCTACTGATGATATTATAGATGAGGCGATAACTAGTGTAAGCAATTCGATGTGCATGAATGAACCCCTTGAAGCCGTAATTGCTAATTATGATGAATCCAAAATTCAGGGCTATGAGGAGGTAGTAGCTACTTTGACAGGTTTAGGAGAGTATTCAAAGACTCCAATCAAGTTGTATATTGACCTTAAAAATAAAGAGACTCCTCCCGTAAAGCCATCAAACAGAAGAACCACCTGATTTGGAATTGCAAACACTTCCCTCTCATCTCCGATATGCTTTCTTGGGGGTAATAACAGTTTACCGGTGATCATTGCAGCTGACTTGCTTGAATGGTAGGTGAAACTGCTCCTTGAAGTATTGCAAAAGCATATAAAAGCTATTAGATGAACCATCACTGATATACTAGGCATCCCTCCCGGTATTTGTACTCACAAAATCCAGCTTGATAATGAGTGTAAGCTTAGTGTTGAGCATCAGCGAAGATTGAACCCACCAAAGCAAGAAGTGGTAAAAAAGGAGATCATTAAGTGGTTGGACGCAAGTGTGATCTACCCTATTGCAGATAACAAATGGGTAAGTCTGGTGCAATGTGTACCGAAAAGGTAGGTGTCACCGTAGTCCCAAATGCAAAGAGGTAGCTTGTGCCAACTAGACCGATGACCGGGTGGAGAGTATGCATGGATTATCGAAAGTTAAATTTGTGGACTAGAAAAGATCACTTTCCTATGTCGTTCATGGATCAAATGCTTGACAGGCTATCAGGGAGGGGTTGGTACTGCTTTTTCAATGGGTATTCCGGTTACAACTAAATCTCCATCGCACTAGAAGACCAAGAGAAAACCATCCGCACATGCCCCTACGGGACTTTTTCCTTTAAAAGGATGCCCTTCGGGTTATGCAATGCTCCGATAACCTTCCAACGTTGCATGTTATCGATTTTTGCCGACATGGTAGAAGACTCAATGGTATTTATGGATGACTTCTCAGTTATGGATGATACCTTTGAGACGTGGTTAGTACACTTAGGACAAGTTCTCCAAAGATGTATGGAGAAGAACTTGGTCCTCAACTGGGAAAAGTGTCACTTCATGGTTAAAGAAGGAATAGTACTGGGTCACAAGGTGTCTCAAAAGGGGTTGGAGGTTGATAGAGCAAAGGTTGAAGTTATTGAGGAATTGCCAACACCAATTTTGGTTAAGGGGGTTCGTAGTTTCTTAGGACATACCGGTTTCTACCGGAGGTTCATCAAAGACTTCTCAAAGATTGTGCATCCGTTATGCAAACTCTTAGAGAAAGAGGTGAAATTCCATTTTGATGATGCTTGTATGATATCTTTCCGGTTCTTGAAGGAAAAATTAGCATCGACCCCAATCATTATCAGTCCTGATTGGTCAGAATCTTTTGAAGTAATGTGTGATGCAACTGGAACGACATTGGGTGTTGTGTTGGGGCAGAAACTCAATAAATTTTTTCACCCAATTTATTACGTAAACAAGACTTTAAACCGTGCTCAGCGTAATTATATCGTGACTGAACAAGAATTACTTGCGGTAGTCTATGCATTTGAGAAATTTCGGGTGTACTTGTTTGGATCTAAAGTAATTATTCACACTGATCATGAAGCACTCTGTTACCTAATGGCAAATAAGGATGCAAAACCAAGGTTGATAAGGTGGGTGCTCCTATTGCAAGAATTTGACTTTGGGGTCAAAGATAGAAGAGGTTGCAAAAATCAGGTGGCTGACCACTTATCCAGGTTAGAGGGCAAGGAGAATGATGTGCCTGAGGTTGACATATACAATTCCTTTCCTGATGAACAAGTGTTTGCAATAACTTTCAAACAAACTCTTCTACCAACAAAAGAGGTTCATGTTCAATGTTAACAAGTACTTTTGGGATGAACCATACTTGTTTTGAGAGTGTATGGTTCATATCATCAGACGGTGTGTTCCGGAAGAAGAGTTGGTGGAAATTCTCCATGCTCGTCATGCTTCATCGGTTGGGGGGCATCATAGCGGTGTGCGTATAGCCGCTAAAGTCCTCCAAAGTGGATACTACTGGCGATCCCTCTACAAAGATGCGCATGAATTTGTGAAGAAATGAGCCCAATGTCAGAAACAAGGTGGAGTATCTAAAAGACATGAGTTACCCCTTACTCCCATTTTAAAAGTTGAGCTATTTGATGTTTGGGGAATCGCTTTCATGGGCCCATTTGTGAGTTCCTTTGGTAATAAGTATATCTTGGTGGCAGTAGATTATGTTTCTAAATGGGTAGAAGTTGTTGCACTTCCAAACAATGAAGGGAGAAGTGTGGTTCAATTTCTGAAATGCATCTTTGCTAGATTCGATACTCCTCAAGCTATTATCAGTGATGGTGGTTCCTATTTTTGCAACAAATGGTTCTCAGTTGTATTAAGTAAGTATGGGGTGAAACACAAAGTAGCAACTCCATATCATCCGCAAACAAGCGGCCAAGTTGAAGTATCAAAATGAGAAATCAAGAGCATCCTGGCTAAGACATTGAATGCTAATAGGACTGATTGGTCTCGAAAGGTTGATGATGCACTATGGGTGTATCACACCGCTTACAAAACTCCAATTGGTATGTCTCCGTATCAGTTAGGTTTTGGGAAGTCTTGCCATCTACCACTAGAGTTAGAACACAAAGTAATGTGGGAATTGAAAGCTCTGAATTTGGAGTAGAAAAAAACCTCAAAAGATAGAGTAGAGTAGTTAACCGA